ATTATTCGGGCCCCTATATTACATGGCTTGAGGTTTAGGGCTTCATCCTTCCTCGGTGCCTTTCGAGAACTTCACGGTTTCGGATTTGGGACCGGGCTGCTTGCGGACGCAAATCCGAAAACCTCAAACCTGAACCTTCAGAGCTTTCAAGTCAAACACCCGAATCCCAGACTCTTGACACTCGAGGGATGAACAAAATCAACGGTCACCGCAGAACGCCTTTCTTCAACCCTGAGCCTTGAAGCGTCGTCCACACTAATCCCCCCCGCCCCCCAAGCCCCCAAGCCCGTGAACCCTACTAGAAAGGGCGGGAGAAATCAGCACTATCTGGGAGACTTTGGATTTAGGGCCTATTCATCAAGACCCCTATACTAAACCCTTATTGAAGCCTTCAAAAGGAGCCCTACACAAGGCACCTGGTTGTTGAGCTGCGTCTCGAAGAAGAAGTCCTGGAACTCCTGTGACCCCCGGGGCTTTGCAGCTGTTTGGCCCCAACAACTCGGGTAAACGAAGGGGCCGAATAGTTAGCAAAATAAGACTCTGAGGGTACTAGTACCACGAGTACTATCTGCATGCATACATATATCTGTATATGTATCTATATTATATATATATATATACACACTGACTTCTTCAGTTGTGTATACATCTGTAACTATATTGTAGATAGTAGAAGATGAATATGCTTTCCTTAATATGTTAGCTTAAAATACCGTCGGCAGCAAGAATCATGCCAGGGCCTTGACACGGGACCTTGATCCGCTGCACTTAAAGACCACCACCACGACCATCATGAGCAGCATCGCTGGAATTTCGCTTTGCTGTAGGTCGGGCATTCGGGTCTCGTGATTCCCGCCATTGTCGCCAGGCTGTGAAGGAAAATAGTCTGGCTTCTTCTTAAGGGACTTATTGCATAACCCCCTATTTCTCATCAACCACCAAACCCCTGAACCGTAAACCCGTCATTCGTAAACCGTAAACCCTAAAACCACCATCAAACCCGACACAACTCCCTGCAAACCCCCGTCTAAAATCCTCAACCCCACAGAAAGCCCTAAACCCCAAAACCTCAACGGCAAGCCTAAAGCCCCCAAAAAAACTCCTAAAGGCTCCTTCCCCAAACCCCAAAGCCCCCGAAAAATTCCCTCTTGGAAGCTCCTCGAAGCTCGAGGAAGCCGATAGCCCGGGATACCACTCGGGATTGCTGGCCACGCCCACGGTCATCGCCCAGGTTACCGCCTGGGGTCAAAAGAAATAGAGGTTGGGATTTAGGCTTCTAGGGGTTTAGGGTTT